TGCTGGTTGGGGTCCAGGTAAACCCTCCCTAAACCTTCCGCCCTAAACCCCTAAACCCTAAACCCTTCAGGCGCGCAGTTGCCCTGTTGGGTAGCTACCAAGACTCCTTTAAAGGTTCCTTTGCCGGCTCCTTTAAGGAAGTTCCTGTAAAGACTTATACAAACCCTAAACCCTAAACTGTCAAGCAACAAAACATGGGAAGTCCTTTTTCGTCAAGGGCTTTGCCAAAGCACTTGATACTTACTCTGCAAAAACAAAACATGCAGAACAAAGCTGCTGTTCAGGTGTCTCGTGGAAGTAGGTTTACAGACCTACAGTCCTGTTGGTATGACACAAACGAAGACTTCTCCAACCCAAAACCAGCTCCGTCAAACTGAAGCATGGCACGGGATTAGGCTTCAGTGCGTTGGGGGTTAAAGAATGCTGCATAAGAAAACGTTTTCGTGTTGCCGTCATGCAGCCCTGCTTCTCTGGGCTTAGGGTTTGGGTTCGGGTTAGACACAGTATGACATCCTCACCGTACGGTGTTGGGGCTTGAGGATTGTGACGGACTCCTACTTACCAGAATTGTTTTTGCTATGCACATAATTACACAGGAGTTAGTTGCACATTCAACCAGTGAGCAAGGAGACGAGGCAGAAAGCGCACTTCTCGAAGACAGGGTGGCAAGAAAAGCGAGACACGATCTTGAGGCTGGCGGGAGCGTGTTGGTGCCAGCAGCTCTTAAGTTGAGTTGAATGCAACATAGGGGCCTTTATTAAATAGTCAGAGCAGGGTTTTGTGGGAACACACACACACACACATATATATATATATATATATATATTCTTAATAAGGACCCCCCATAGGAATGGGATTGAACATTTTTCAGGTTTCTTTAAAAGGGTTTATGTCCACAGGGCTTACCGACATCGAGCGAAGATCCCTTCCCGCGGATCTCGCGCGGGAAACATTGAAATTTGAAGACTGCACCTTTATAACCCTAGGCTTCCAGGCACCTTATTTTGGGGTCCTTAAGGGGTCTAGGGCCCTAATTGTAAGGTCCTTGGAAGCATAGGGTAACTACTACTTACCTGAAGGACCACATGACCTCTAAAAGTGCGGGCCCCGTTCCCTTTTACTATGAATCCCTATATGGTATATGAACCTTAAACCCTGTTAGGGTTCATGTCGTCCTTAAAGTAAATCCCAGAATACCCTATAGAACCCCTCTACCCTTATGGTGACTCTGTAGTTGCCCTAGCGGAACCCTTGTGAAGGCACAGCATCAGCCTCGATGGTGTTGCTGTAATACCAGTCGATGACCTCCGGTCTTGCAGGAAGTGTCGCGGAGAGACTCGGGGTCGGGGTTAAGGACGTAGGGTTAAGGGTTTGCAGCCCTGGGGATGCAGAACACTATGGGGATAGCTCTAGAAAATACATTTCTTTGCGAGATGTACGGCAAGGATGCAAGGAACACAGAATCCCTCCTGCTAGCTGCGATGCCGGAAGAATCAAGCGCAAGTGCCTTCATGCAGGATGCAGAGTCAAAGCAGCGCAAATTATGTAAAGCTGCATCTCCAAACATACAAGAAACTCTAACATGATCTGGCAAACATGCCAGCACTGCATCCGTGAGGTGCTGATGCTAAGGGTACCCGTATGGAGTATATTTAGGCCTGAAAGGACCTGTTCCTAAGTTAGTAGGGTTTAGAGTTTGCGGGGCTAACATCTATATATATATATATATATATATATGTTACACTGGTATCTGCTTAGATTGTGGTTACTTATGAGTATGTATATGGGAACCGGAATCCCAAATCCTAAAGCCCCAACTCTGCAAGGATGGAACACACCGTGTCGCGACTGTCTGGGACAAAGATAGCCGCGGGCTTTCCCTGCTCTCCTGATGCTGGTCTCGTCCTTTCCCTCGCTCACGACACTCCTGCACCCAAACCCCATATGGGTTCCTCTGAAACCTTAAACCTTAACACCCCTATAGATCCCTTATAGAACCCTTATAGATCCCTTTAAAGGAACCCCAAAAGTCCGCCCAATGCCAGAACATACGCACCTTCCAGGGCGGCACGCGGGGACATTTGGGGACCAGTTTTGGGGGCCGCCAAAGCATGGAGCGCGTGGTGAAGTCGCAAGTTCGGTGCCCGAAGCTCGAAACCCCCTATTCTACGGCTGCGACACTCTAATGCCTGAGCATTATTGCGTGGCCAAAAAATGCATGACAAGCCGGGGTCTGGGTTGGCTCTGCTGCGAACCCTATAAGCACTAAACCCTAAGCCTTAAAGGGCTTAGGATTTTAGGGGTTGCTTTTTTTGTTTTTGTTATGGGGGGGGTTCGGGCTCAGGGTCTCAATCGGTGATTGAAGGAGCCGAAACCCAAAACCTGGATCTGCCAAGCTTCTACCTCAGGCCTTTGAAGGCTTTAGGAAGTAGGGTTCCTATACGGGATCTATAAGGGTTCCTTTAAGGGATCGGATCCCTCAAGGCATCTATAGGGTTTAATCAGGATTTAGGAGTTTAGGGTTTCGGGCTTATGGGGGTTTGGGAGTTTCGAGAACCTGCAGTCAGGCTTCAGGCCGTTGGGTGTAGGGTTATATGTAAGCTCCGCCAAGTTGGACATTGCAGGAAGGCTAATCGGCACTCTGACTCTTTGGGATACCTTGTTCCATCTGTCCAGCGGTTACTGTGGTACAATTACACCAAAGGTGCACGGGCTGCCATCATGGATACTACTGGGCCCCGGTCAACAAACCTTGGGTTCTCCTCGTGCTGGTTGAGGATTTTTCGCTGATCAAATTCCTGCATTAACCCTACAGAAGAGGATGCTGTGGGGGACGCCTATCGGTTGACGTTTTTGGTAGTCCTTAACCCTAAACCCTAGACCCGATTTTCTTACTCAAAGTCCTACATTAAGCAGGGTGTCGACCAGAGGAAGGTTGTCAGATGCCACTCTCGGCATCCGACGTCCTCGTCGAAGTTCCGCGAGGGAAAGCGCAAGCGCCTTGCATTCCTGGATCTTGGGAGTGGGAAATCTTTTGTTAAAGCTACCTTTTGCGTCTGCCCATCCTCTGAGTATCCCCAAGGCTATACATTGTGACAAAATCGATATGAAGGAGCTCCGATGTGTCACAGTGGTGAACAATTCCGACATCTACATTGCCTGTCTTGGGCTTCTGCATTTTGGCAGTTGATGGGATCCCAGCCATCATGAAACAAGCTGTCCCAAAGCATGGGTGTTTCCTAAGTCCTAAGCAAGGAAGCCCTATAAGCCTTGAAGCCCTCTAAAGAGCCCAGAAGCTCCATGCCAAACCCTAAGCAACTAAGCCCGAAAGCCCGAATCCCCAAAACCCCAAAGCCCGCCTCAACATGATTCCCAACACCCTTAAACTTATGTAAGGCCTGAACCCTAAAACCCTACAAAGCCTTAATCCCTTTCAGGACTCAGGGCTTAGGATTTAAGGGTTTCCCTAAACCTTACCTTAACCCTGCATAACCTACCTTCTAAGGTTCCTTATTATGACTTCCTTAATAAAATCCTTAAAACAGTATATAGGTCCGACAGGGTTAAGGTAAGCCTCAATCCCTTCCAGGGCCCAGGCAAGAACTCCGCAAACATGATCACCCAGCACTTCGCGCGGAAGATCTTCAGTTCTGCGGAGGGAGGCAAGTGGGTGGTTGTCAAAATTCTGGTTCCTGTTTGGGGGTCCTTATTATAGGACGGCACCTATTATTTCGGGTACCCCAAAAGGGACCATAATTTTGACAACTACCCAAGTTTTTTTGCGGCTTGAGGTGCTTGAGGATTGGAGAGCAGGGTTTAGGGTTTAGGGGTTTAGGGTGGTTTAAAGTTTGGGCAGCAGGGTTTAGGGGTTTAAAGTTTAGTGTTGTTGATTAGAGGTGATTAGGGTTTAGGGTGGTTTAAAGTTTGGGCAGCAGGGTTTAGGGGTTTAAAGTTTAGTGTTGTTGATTAGAGGTGATTAGGGTTTAGGGTGGTTTAAAGTTTGGGCAGCAGGGTTTAGGGGTTTAAAGTTTAGTGTTGTTGATTAGAGGTGATTAGGGTTTAGGGTGGTTTAAAGTTTGGGGAGCAGGGTTTAGGGGTTTAAAGTTTAGTGTTGTTGATTAGAGGTGATTAGGGTTTAGGGTGGTTTAAAGTTTGGGCAGCAGGGTTAGGGGTTTAAAGTTTAGTGTTGTTGATTAGAGGTGGTTAGGGTTTAGGGTGGTTTAAAGTTTGGGCAGCAGGCTTTAGGGGTTTAAAGTTTAGTGTGTTGATGAGAGGTGATTAGGGTTTAGGGTGGTATAGAGTTTGGGGAGCAGGGTTGAGGGGTTGGGGTGTAGGTAGGCATTGAAGGCTTCTTGGGTTTGGGGCTGTTGTGTTGAGGGCTTCTGGGATTTTGGCTCAGGGCTCTTGTGTTGAAAGGCGAAACACCGGGTTTCGTTTGCAATTTCAAGAACTTCGGACAGTGGCCTCCTCAATGCGCAGCCGAGCTCCGGCATCGTGGTGCTAGTAACTGCTAGTAAACCCGAAGCCCTCAACCCCATATCCCCAAATGCTGAAGGGCCGCGTTAGAGACAATTACGGCTGATGCTGTTTCTTCCGCCCTTTTATCCAACAGGATCTGTAGTCGCAGGGGCATTGAGGGGCTCCAAAAAAGGATCTTGACATTAGAAGCTGCCCCACCCTGTAATCGTGGTATAATAGGAATACAATAGGGCCCTACTATAATCCTTATAGTCAGTATTACAGGGTGGGGGCAGCTTCTAATCTTAACATTTAAACCACCCTTTCACGTGGCAGGGCACAGCTGTGCAGATTGCCTTTGTCATGAAATCGTGCTATGGCTTGCCATACATAAACTTTGCATATCGCAAATCCTAAGGTTTCAAAAGCCCTAAACCCTAAACCCTGAACCTTAAAGCATAAATCCTCTACACCCTAAACCCTAAAAATCCACAACGCTGAAAATCCTAAACCCTAAAACCCTAAGCCCATTGTTTTCCCGCTCAGTCGGACTCGGAGGCATCGGACTCGGAAGCACTGGAGCCCGCAGCCGTCCTCTGGCGAGTCCTGCGAAGGATTTTAACCGTCCAAACACCCTAAGGGTCATGTACCCAAATAGCGTTCCTTTTAGGGTTCCTTTAACGGTTTAGGGTATAAGGGTCCATGTACCCAAATAGTGTGTACCTTGGCCTTAAAATACTCGCTATGTAGGTACATTGGGCCCCAAGTATATACTCTTTGGCTACATGGAGCCTTCGGGATTTTTAACGTCCACGAAGTCACTTCCACGGTTCAAAATACCCCTGTAATACTGGGGCCTCCATAGTTGGAACAAGGTTTTGGGGCCATTGAACTGCGCTTAGAATAAGGAGCCCCTCCAAACAAGTATGGGTAATTACCCAGGCCCCTTCCCAGGAAACTATGGCGGTGCCGTTTCGTGATGTCCGAGGAGGGATTTAGGGATTCCGGTAACCTAGCCATAGCTGTGCGACTGGCTCCAAACCCTGCAAAATCGTACCAAGGTCAAGGAGCAAATTAAGACGTTCAACGTGGGAGTTGCTGGTTCATTAGAGGTATTGACCCACTCTTGTTGGTGTTCTGGCCCCTGTCTTGGTGGGTCATGTTTGCCAGGGTCCAGGCAAAACTTAGGCTGTGTCGGTTATGCCAAAACCGAACATAGTCATAGTTGCTGCTTAAACCCATAGCAAAGCCGCGCATATGTACTGCGATCGCTCGCGACAGCTTGCACACGATAGTTTCCGAAGAAAGAACAGTTCAAGTTACGACTAAACATGAACCCCGAATCCCAGTATTGATGGCCCTGGCTCTCTGCTGAATCGCAAACCCTACACTCCTGGTCCTAGACCGCTGAACCCTGAACCATCCCCAAACCCCAAACCCTAAACCTTAACTGCCTCCTGGAATCCCTTCACAGGTGCATCCCTAAAGGAGAAGAAGATTTAGGGTCTAAGGGTTTAGGCTCTAGGGTCTCAGGGGGTTTGCGGTCTAGGACTATAAACTAGATCAAAGCTTGATATTGAAAATTGCGCGAACCCGACGTAGACTCCGAATTATTGCAACTTTTGGAGGGATCAGCAGCTTAGAGTGTTAAGCTTATCAGCCTTAACATAAGTGAAAAAAAAGACAGCACTAGAGCCCCTAAACTCCAAAACCTACAAAGCCCCAGACCCGTTCTGAACTCTAAACCCTAAACCACAAACCCTAAACCCGAATCTATACCCTTATAAGCCCTAGACCCTAAACCCTAAATCCTAAGACCTGCTTAACGGACCATGGGACTTAGTAACTAGGGTTATGATTAGAGCAACTATGCTTATACCTACTTATAACCCAACTACCCAGACCCCCGGGAGGATCTAGAAAGTAGATCCCTAATTTTGGGCCCTATACTCCCAAGGGTACTTTATAGGAACCCCCCATTAAGGGATCTACTCTTTGGATCCTGCCGGGGGTCTGGGTAAGGTATACTTATAATATAACCTTACGTACTAAGTCCCATGGTTCCATGATCCTCCAAGAAGACCCTAAACCCTGAGCCCTAAACCCTATCGATCCCTTTAAGGAACCCTATAGATTTCTTAAGGAGCCCTTTCAGGAACCTTACTAAGTCCCATGATCCTCCTAGAGGACCCTCAACCCTGAACCCGAGGGCCGGGAGATGAGGGCCGCCTACGCGGGAACTCATCGGGACGATCTGCCGGAGATGATGCCTCCTCCCGAAGGGTCCAAGTAACAATCAGATTCGATTATGTGGTATCATATTATACTGTATGAAATTGCATAATGTTGTATTAGATAGCATCATTTTGCAATATATAGTAATATACTGAATTTTGGTTATAGTGTAAGTTTAAGAGTCGATTATGTTAAAATCTTCTATATTATGTAGTATTGTATATATATATATATAGGGTCTCGGATCAGCTGGTGCAACAGCGCACCATATAGCCAAGACCCCAGTGCCTTAGAATCATTGCCCCATGGGGAAAAGGCACGTCTGCCGGCTACGGGACAGCAAGTTTTTCATGCGGAGCTTCATCAAGTTGGCTGGCTTTCATATACATCTAACAAGTCATGAGACTCGGAATCTCGAGGAGGATTCGGAGTTGGAGATCCTCTTCCAGATGAGCCGCTTCGGAGGAATCCTGCATGGTGTCAGGGAGGGCTTTTCCCCAAGTGACATGAACTTCGTCACCGAAACCATGAGGACTTGCAGAGCGTTCACAGCAGTTGGAGCAGAAGGTGCCATAAAGAGAAAGCACTTCTACCGCAAACTGCACAACTTAATTATGGCAGTGGGGATGGTTGATGTGCTTCCTCGGGAGGTTGGTGGCCCAGGCCGCAATCTCCTCCTCGAGGCACTCATGGACGAGCCAGAGGACACCGAACTGCAATGGTGGTGGTTGGTGCTGGAAACGCTGCTTTCGGGGACCAAACGAAATCGTAGCTGTTCCACAAGAGCGAGCGGAGTGTCATGCTCTGCTCGCCGGATGCGACTACACGTTGCAGTCAGGTGGAAGCTGCATGGATTTGGGCAGTCGGAAGCTGTCTGCCGCCCGGACTGGAGGCATGAAGGACGCTTGAAGTTGGCGTCTACGAATGGTGGCTACTTGTGATTTGTCCGCCCGTGCATTGTGGCAGTCATATACATTGCCACTTTGCCTACAATCGGCGGCTCTACCGGAGTTGAGATGCGCTGCAGCTCCTTTTGAACTGATTGCGTGTGTTGCCCAGCATGCGCGTCTGTATATACGCAGTCACTGTACATGGCGCGTGCGTTGGAGCGGGCGTGGCTTATTTTAATCAGCCATGTGGGGTTTTTGTCTTGTAGTTTGCCTTCCCCGACCCCTGGAGGAATAGGCTCAGGACTTTGAATGTTTAGTAGCCGGTTTCTGCGGGTTCCGCTGCATTTAGTAGAACCCGTCTTCCTGTCCTTTTGCTGTTTGCGATTAAGTCTTAGTTGAGACCTGGAAGCCAGTCAATAACTGCTGTCTGTGGTCACTTGCAGTCCGCTTGTTTTCCTGAAAGAAGCTCGACAGAGACAGCTTTTCCGGCGCTGGTTCCATCTCTCTCGAGGCCTTTCAGAGCAGATTTCTGCGTCGTGTGCTGTAAGCACGTGAGCGCATACTGCGTTTGAATTCATTTGTGCAATAGGCGCGTCCGCATTGGACCCATAGCCTCACGAAGAAAGAAAGATATATATATATATGCTATAAACCATTATATTAACTTTAGAACTTAAGTATAATGTATGTATGCATAATGAATATAGTGTGTTCTTTTGTAGCTTCTGATCCGGGTCTGGGTTGCAGGCCTCCGCTGGGGATCGGAGTTTAGTTGAAAGCTTCTGGGCTTTGTTTAGGGCTTAGGGTTTAGGGTTTAGGGTTCAGGGTTCAGGGTTTGGGGTTTGGGGTTTAGGGTGTAGGGTTCAGGGTTTAGGGTTCAGGGTTTACCTTCGTTGCATGGCTCTCCCGGATTTAAGAACAAGAGCGACTAGGAGAGGGCAAAGGCGACACGCCGAATATAAGAAAGAGAGACAGACAGAGAGAGAGAGAGAGAGAGAGAGAGAGAGAGAGAGAGAGAGGGAGGGAGAGAGATACGGAGATGAGTTTCTTGATGATAAGATTACAATTACAACACCTCTTGACTCTGAAAACACAACCCTTAACCATATACCAAAAACCCTTAAGCACTATGCGAGAAGCCGCGCTCCCAAAGTTATGAAGGATCAGGAAGTACAGCATCGACTGTAGATCAATTTTGCTGACGGGGTTTAGGCTTAGAGGCAATGGTTCATGTTTAGGGCTTGGCATGTCCGTGCCTTGTCGTGTGCTTCAGTTCGGGATTGTAGTGCCTAAACCCTAAACCCTATAGACCCTACATCCCCAACCCCTCAGCCCTAAGCTCTAAACCTTGAATCTGTAACGCCTAAGCACTAATCGACCTAAACCCCAAACCCCTAGACCATAAACCTAAGCCCCTAAACTGGAAAAAACCCTAAGTCCCTAAACCCCCTATGTCCTTAAACCCCCGAAAACCCGAGTCTCTAAATCCCAAGTACATGCTCTCTATCTCTCTCTCTCTCTATATATATATATACATATATATATATATATATATATATATAGATCCCTGAGAGGAACCCGTAAAGGAACCCTTACAGATCCCTTTAAAAAAAAACCTTAGAAGCCCCAGCTCTGAGACTAAGAGGCTTCTAGCTTTGCTAACTTTTCAAGCTTTGAGGGCCTTTTTGGGTTTAGGGTTTAGGGTGTAGGGTTTAGGGTTTATAGGGTTTAGGGTCTAGGGTTTAGGGTTTTTAGGGTTTTTAGGGTTTAGGGTTTAGGGATACTGGACCCAAGAGTAACCTAGGAACAAAAAGGGTGCCCTTTTTGGTGTGAAAGTGGCTTCTAAGGGAACCTGAACCCTGAAACAAGGGAACAAGGGCCTACTCTAGGTCCTAGGGGTTCCAAAAAAGGACCCAAACATAAACTGTTGGTTGGGATATCCCTACCTCATTGTTTTGTTCATAAAGGGGTTTGTGGGATATCCCAACCTTCTGGTTTTTGTTTAAGTACCTTTTTGGGTCCCTATATTTGGCAGCTGTAACACGGCTTCTTGAGTGACCTCTGCTTGGGGCCTAGGGTTTAGGGGTTAGGGCGCGCCTAGGGTTTAGTGTTTAGTTCTGGGATGCCGTTATGATAAGGATATAATATAGGTGAGTTAAACGCTAAACCCCAACATCTACTTACATCTAAAGCCAAGATCGGAGCCCCAAACCGTGAACTCTCAAGCTTAACCCTGCAGCTCCTTATCAAAGGATCGAGGTAAGCCCCAAGAGTCTAAGAGACGGAGAATGGTCCTCTGCTTTTCCATGGTCAGCAGGAGATGCCGCCACATCGGATAGGCATCGCTTCCGCAGCCTTGGTTAGGATTTCGCGTTCGTGGCTTTGGGTTTGTTAGGGTTTGGAGTTCAGGATTGGTTAGGGGCAAACATGGGGTTGGAGAACCTACCTGTCAGCAGACTGATTACTAGCTTTAGCATATCTAGTCGTTCAACCAGCTACTTTGGACCCTTCGGGTTACGGTCGCACATGTCGGTTTATCACGCGCTTCAACAGTCGCTGGACTTCAATTTCAAAAGTCCGCTTTGGCAGGCCACCCCTCCAAAATTGAGGATGTTTGTTAGGGTTTGCAGTTTCAAGGGGTTAGGCGCAAACATGGGGTTGCACCCCTCCAAGATTTTAAAGAGGATGTGCTGGAAAGGGCGACCTCGGTCCGCGGGGTCACGAAGATCATGAACTCGCGCTCCAGCGCCTGAAGTGATAGACTTCCAACCACCAAACCTTTTTGACCATTTTGACATCGTCGGCAACAATGTAACAACGAGCACAGCAGTGGCGCCTCCCTTCCTTAAGCTGAGAGACCCTACTTGGAGGATCATGGGACTTAGTAAGTGAGGATATAAGTACCTTAATTGGGGTTATCAGTATAGTTACCCTAATTTCTAACCCTAGTTACTAAGTCCCATGATCCTTTAAGTATCCCTAACCCCCCTCTTATAGAACACTTATAGATCCCTTTTAAGGAGCCCTTTAAGAAACCCTGGTTACTAAGTCCCATGATCCTTTAAGTATCCCTAACCCCCCCTCTTATAGAACCCTTATAGATCCCTTTAAAGGAGCCCTTTAAGGAACCCTAGTTACTAAGTCCCATGATCCTTTAAGTACCAAGCGGGCAGGGTAGCGGTAGCCGAGGGCAGCGGCGCTCAGTCTAAGAAGGTCCGAGCTCATCTCCGGAGTCACTCCAAGCCTTGCCATGCACAAACTGGAAAGGTAGGGTTGATGATAGAAATCCTGCATTACCTTAAGGACCCTAAACTATGGGAATTATGGTATATTAAGGAGCCTAAACTATGGGAATTATAGTATATTCCTTGTTTTGGGTAATGCAGGATTTATATCGTCGTAGGGTCACCGACCTCAGCGGGATTCTGCCTGGCATGCTCCCTTGGGCAAAAATGGTTGCCCTGTCTGGTGCTGGAGCCTGACTTGGGAGTTTCCGCAAATTGCTTATAATAAGAATGCTACTATTTAGGATGCTACATTAGGGTCCCCTTTTTCGGAACCCCCCCACTTGACCACGGCCAAACTGATCACCTTTTGAGTCCCTGAGCTGAACAGCGACTGAATCGGCATCAAACACAGAACACCCGTCTGCCCTCCCTAAAACACTAGCTTAAGGACGAAATGAACCCTAAAAGGGTTTAAGGTTCATATACCATATAGGGATTCATAGTATGTGGGTATAGGGCCCCTACCTTCACGGGTCATTTGGTCCTTCAGGTAGAGATCACTCGCTTTCAACACCCGTTTGGGGGGGGATAGGAACGTCGCTTGGAGGCATATACTCGGAAGACCTCAACATAAGGAACCACTAGGATGGCACATATCGCGTCAACTACTTTCCGTAGTACAGCCCAGTGGTATAAAGCCCCAGCCTAAACCCTAAACCCCCTAGACCCCTAGCCCTCGATCAACCCTTAGCCCTCTACATATACCCTAAGCACTAAAAGCACTAAACCTCGAATGAAGCCCACCACCTCACACTCCAAAACCCTTGGGTTTAAGGGTTGAGGGTTCCGGGTTTCAGGCCAAGCCTTGAACTCTAATGCTCTTCTAATTAAAGTTTGAACTGCATGAAAGCCTAAAGCTGTATAGCAGCCTTCTAGAAGCCTTATCTTATGGAACGGGACGCCTAGGGTAGCCTCAAAGGTACCCTTTCCTGAAAACCCTAAACCCTGAACCCCTAAACCCGAAACTCTTACCTTCGGTTAGTAGGGAATGGAAGAATGGTAGTAGTAGTAGTTATAATTATACCCCATTCCTCCATTCCCAACGAACCAACGGTAAGAACTTCCTCAACTACTGAACCCCCAGCTGAGGTTGCATCCCTGCGCGGCTTCCGCCCGGGGTCGAAGGTGCCGCATGATCGGAGATCTGCGAAGCATAGAGTAGAGGTTGAGGGTGAGCGTAGTAAGATTTCTTGGGGTTTAAATTCTGTATTTAAGTTTACATTTTAAGCTGCCTTTCGAAGTTTTCGGTGTACGGTTTGAAGATGTTTTGGGTCTTGGGGTTCCGGGCTTGGCGATCTGGCTTCGGCAGGCTGAGTTTTCAGCATCAGTGCATGTGCAGTTTTTCTGCAGCATGAGGCCGCTTCCGAAAGACTATGGTGACTTTCCCTACTTGAAAACTGGGACTTTGTATATAGGTTCCTTAAAGGGCTCCTTAAAGGGATCTATAGGGTTCCTTAAAGTGAAAGGGATCTATAGGGTTTAGGGTTTAGGGTCTACTTGGGAGGATCATGGGACCTAGTAAGTAAGGTTACAAGTACCATAACTGGGGTTATAAGTAGTTAAGTACAGTTACCCCAATTTAAACCCCAGTTACTAAGTCCCATGATCCTTTGGTCCTTGAAGGCGTCTAGGGCCCTAATTATAAGGTCCTTGGGAGCATAGGATGTGGAGCATATATAGACGGTTTTACAGAATGTTCATGCATGACATGTATGCGTGAATGCGTCTTCGTGACCTTTACATTGTTGTGACATTGTTTCTGAACCAGTCACCCCAGTCCATTGCCCGCTGAAGCCTGACACCCTAAAGTCCACAGGGGCCAATGTAACGGTGCGCTCCAACCAGCTCATTAGTATGACAGACGTATCACCCAGGGTTCATGGAGATTGTTATCAGCCGGGCCATATGCTGGAATCCGGAATTCGATTCTGAACTGCCAGAGATGCAGCTAGGCTTCAATATCATCCACCCTACACCTTAAGGCCTGTATGAAGCCTGAACCCCAAACCCTAAACCCTTATCCTCTATATTCTAAACAGGCAGAGATTCGACACACCACGGGCCTGGCCCAGGATTTTTCGATAGCCGTCCCAATAGCCTCAAAAAATGGTGGTCTAGGGTTTAGGGTCGAGTTGCAGGCCTTGATAACGCCCGAGAGAAACTGAAAGCGATGGATGATATGGCGAGTTTTCAGTAAGGTTTTAAAGCCAAGCAAACATAATGATTATGAGGTGCATCTGTGCCTTGGTTGTTAGCGATCATGGGTTCACATCTTGGGGTGTACATGGTCGTTAGGTACTTGGACTCTTTGGGTACTTTTGGAGCAGTCCGAACATTGGGGTCTCTATCGGACGCTTCTTATAATCAGGATCGTACAGCGGAGGGCCTCTACTTCTACTCTCGCTTTCTTGGACCTCGATTTCAGCAGAGCTGACATGTTCTGACAGTTGTTAGAGGCGCAAACACTGAACCCCTCAGCATTTTCCAATAAACCCTAAATTGCCCTAAATACCGACCAGACGGGCTTCACTGAAGGGCACTTCGGGTCCTGGTAAGTTGGAGGGTTTACTTGACCACCGAAACCTACCTTTTTGTTGCGCCTTCCGATGGTCTCCTTAACAAAACCCTAAACGCGTGTAGGTTATTTTGGGCAAACGGTACACTTCTGAAACCCTACAGCCCCTGCATACCCTAAGCTCTATCCCAAGGTCTAAGCCCCAAACCCTAGACCCCTTGCTAACCCTAGACACTAAATATCGTAGCCTGGTAACCCCTACACCCACGTAAAGCCGAATCCCTAAGCTGGTATGAACCCTAAAACCTAAGCCCTTGTAGCTCGTTTAATTACGGAGTTCCTGTGCTTTCCCCGAGGTCGCTGCCGACGCTGTGGTAGGGCCTGGGCCAGGCTTCAGGCACGGCTCCTTCTCTGTGTAAACCCTTACCCTATGCCTCCAGGGACCTTATTATGGGGTCCTTAAGGGGTCTAGGGCCCTAACTATGAGGTCCTTGGAGGGATAGGGTTACGATTAGGATTAGGGTTTAAGATTTGGTTTAGATTGTAGGGTTTAGGGCTTGGTTTAGGGTTTAGTTTTTGGCTTCAGGCTTGCAGGTGTAGGGTTGACGGTTTAGGATTTCGGCTAACCCTAAGCCCCAATAGGGGTTTTGGGTTTGAGAGGCTCGGGGTTAGGGTTTAGGGAGACCTGAAACCCTAAAGCCTAAACCGGAGAGGGTTGAGGGTTAGGGTTTTTGTTAGGGATCAGGGTTGAGGGGTACAGTTTCCTTGAGGTCTAAGGGCTGAGGATCGGGAGTTGTCGGTTTGGGCCCAGTCTATGGAGGGATTTGGGTTTCGATGGGTCTAGGGTTTAGGGTTTCGGGTTTAGGGTCTGGCACTGGATTGGGAACACTTCCAGTATGCGAGCCTCTAGAGCCCAAGAAGGGGCAATATGCAATATCGAGGTGGTCTGCCTTGTTGGGATCGGGGGGCTGTGGGCTCTTTTTGGCTCAATGTTCAGAGTTCATGGTAAGGGACTGAGTGTAGGGTTTGGGCTTAGGGAAGGGCATACTTCACCCTGCTTAAAGGATCATGGGACTTAGTAACTAGGGTTATAATTTCGGTTACTTTACTTATAGCTACTGTAACCCCAATTAAGGTACTTATAGCCTTACTTACTAAGTCCGATGATCCTCCAAGTGTGAGTCGTGATTAGTCAAGGCTTAGGGGGCTTGGGATTTAGGGTCTGATGCAGGATTCTCCGCAGAGGACGCCCGAAATACACGCTCACCGATGTTGCGAGGAAGGGCAATACACTCACACCAGAACGATAAATCCGTGCGGACGGAGGGTGAGTCGTCAAACTGTGTGAAGGGAAGCGATGGGGTTGACTGTCATATGTCGAGGGTTTCATGCTGGCCGTAGCAAGACTCGACAGTGTCTGAACAACTCCCCGTGACATGCGGAGAACAATAGTCACAGAAACCTCGATGCTTCGTGCCATACATGCCTGCACTGCATGGACAAAGAACTGATGTAGACACTTTCAAGCAGGGTCATATACGAGCGGGCCTTAATGATTAGAGCAGGGGTTGGAACCCTCAGGGACAACTTTGGGCAAGGGTTCTCGATCCTGTATTAAGCCGTAAGCGCCAGACTATCAGATTATATAGACTTGCACATCTGCAATACCCTCACCTTATGCTTCACCACCCTATTTTCTTAACCGCCCTCAACCTCAAACCGCTCGAAACCCAAAACTAAAAGCACCCTAATTAAGCAGGAGATAAACCTTATACGCGGCCCCCAGCCCAAAACAATCCCTAGTCCCCTGCCCGCCACCATAGCCATAGATCGGCTTTCCCAAGTGCCGGGCAGCCCCAGATCAGCACAGGCGGCTCGTACTACCCGCGACGCGCGAGAGTACTGGACGAAGCTCATAGCCTTATCTTCGGGTTTGGCTCCAAGGTGTTACAACCCCATTGTATTTGGAATTTGTCTTTAGGCTTGAGGCTCTAAGATTTCAGGGTTCAGGGTTTCGGGCTAAGGGGCTCGGGGGTTAACCGAGACCCTGGAGTATAGTACCTTTGTGTGGTTACCGTATCGATCTTCACATGACTATAGTATCTGAGTCATAGCATAGGTCTTCTATTACTGGTAGGCTAAACTTGACGTATGTAGTCAGCTTCCGGAAGCAACATGCCATCAGTTGCGGGCTTCGTGATGCAGGGATGAGGATTTAGAGATTCGGGTTAAGGATTCCGGAGTTAGGGTTTGGAGAAGGCTCTCGATTCGTGACACACACACACACACACACGCGCACAAACAGAGAGACACAGACACAGAGACACACACACACACACACACACAACACACACACAAACACACAGCGTGCTGAAGGACAGGCCACCCGCACTCCAGAGACATCCAGATTCCATAGACGTCAGAAAACTGCACAAATTAGAATAATTTAATTAATTTCACGGACCTGACCTCGTCGCTTAAATCTCATTAATTTCAGGCTTTACCTCGCGCGTTAATTTGGCTAATTCTGGGGTGCCTCGTCAAGGCTGGGCTTTGGGCTTAGGGTTTCGAGTTTAGCGTCTAATTCGCACGATTTGCGCCTGGCCCTGCCTCCCAGCCCCAGGTTAGCGCCTAATTCGCGCGATTTGGGCCCCTGCCCAGCCCAGCCCTAACCCAGCCCAGCCGGTGAGTTTGGGGAGAGCCCAGATGCTTCAGGTCACCCCAAAATCTCGAATGAGGGTGGGGGAAGGGATTGCATGACACCACCAAGGATTGAGCCCGTCACCTTCTCCACAAAAGCTTCGGAGGCAGACGTTTACACAGGCGGCCAGGGCATAGTTCCTAAACTGGCGCCTGCCCCGCACAAACACTTGAGCAAGTGTGGCAGGCCCAGTTCTGCCTATGCCGGAGAGTTTTGGGCGAATTAGCGTCTAATTCGCACGATCTGCGCCTGGCCGTCTCCCAGCGCCAGGCTTCGGAATTTGAGCAAATTAGCGCCTAATTCGCACGATTTGGGCCCCTGCCCCAGCCCAGCCCAATTTGAGCAAATTAGCGCCTAATTCGCACGATTTGCCGGCCGCCTCCCAGCGCCAGGCTTCGGAATTTGAGCAAATTAGCGCCTAATTCGCACGATTGGGTCCCTGCCCCAGCCCAGCCCTAACCAGCCCAGCCGGTGAGTTTTGGGCGAATTAGCGTCAAATTTGCACGATTTGCGCCTGGCCCTGCCTCCCCCCAGCCTTCGGAATTTGCGTCTACGATTTGCGCCTGGCCCTGCCTCCCACCCCAGCCTTCGGAATTTGAGCAAATTAGCGTCTAATTCGCACGATTTGCGCCTGGCCCCTGCTTGGCACGATTTGGGCCCCTGCCCCAACCCAGCCCGAAACCAGCCCAGCCGGCGAGTTTGGCGAATTGCCGTCTAATTCGCACGATTTGGGTCATCCGGGGCCTCGTTTAGCTTTAGCTACTAAATTACCTCATTTTTCTACCTCGTCAGGTCGCTAATTGTCTTAATTCTGGACTGACCTCGTCGCTGACCTCGCTATAATTTGTACAGAGAAAAGACGGTTTCAGATGCAAGGAGCTGGAATGACATGGCTCACACGTTGAAAAGTGGAGACGGCAAACATCGGAGCAGTAGCAAAAGTTGAAAAGGTGGACGAGTCGGTTCCTGAAGCTGTAGGCTCTACCTTAAACCTCAAATAACATACCTTTCCGAGGACGTATATATAAGGAAATCACAATAATTAAGCGAGCTATAAAAAGGTAGGTTTTATCGGGTTCAGGTAGGTTTTGGGGCCATCACTCATCGCACGCATCCGGCTGAGCCCTTGGCTGGCCATAAGTGGTGCTCGATCTGATGGCTGTCCCCTGACGGCAGTCAGAGTAATTAACAGAAATGAAAGAGGCGGAGGGCACAAGAGAGAGAGAGAGAGAGACAGAGAGAGAGCGAGAGCGAGAGGGAGAGGGAGAGGGAGAGGGAGAGGGAGAGAGAGAGAGAGACGGAGAGAAAGAGAGGGGAGGGAGGAGAGGGAGACGACAGTCAGAGAGAGAGAGAGAGAGAGAGAGAGAGAGAAAGAAAGGAAGGGGAGGGAGGAGAGGGAGACGACAGTCAGAGAGAGCGAGAGAGGAAGAGAGATATACCAATAGTGCGAACGCACGAGATGACGGGGAGAGAGGTGTGGCATTTTCAACAAGCGAACACCAGAGATAAGAGATAGAGGGAGGGAATTGCAGAGCTTCGCAAGCTCAGCCTCACTTTCCTAGAGATAAACACAGAGATTAGTGAACAATGGGCTCATGCATAATTAAAACAGACTTGCGGAGTTACTGGTTGGCATGTGCAAGCTTAGCTGTCACGTTTTCCATGCCAGACGCTCTTGCCCCAACGACCTCATTGAACCAACTTTGTGGCCTTTCATGCATACAACAGCTGGAAACATGCGCCGCAAGTTCTATTCAAAAGACATACCACGAGTAGTACATGTTTCTGACGTTTCAACTATGTCAGATAGAGTTGCGAAGCATAAAGACACTCCACAACACCAAACGAATCAGCACCCATATACGAGTCAAAATGTAATCTACGATGCATACAAGCTATGCACACATACATGGAAATCCATGTTGTTTCATATTCAGTGTTGTTGATTTGAATCCTCATTGTCGTGCATTTTGTTTTGTTCGTATCGATATACCGATTCGGGCCTACGCAAAAAGCCCAGCCCTATCCCCAATAGGCCCCAGATCTGATATCCGACTTGTCCAACTGCCCGGCGCGCCGTGGAACATCAGGAAGTCCAATAGCCAAGCGGGCCAGGACAGAAACCTCAACAAAGTGCCAGCGAGGTTTAAATTAGGAGGAAGCACAGTGCTATTGGGTCCTGTGGACATTTACCACTAAAAACCTATCAATCCCCAAAAAGCCTCTGTACAGCCCCCTGAGGCTCTTCTAGGAACTTTAAGAGAGCTCTATTTTTGTGAGTCCCTTGGGCTAAAACAAAACCTTTTAAGTACCGTTAGTGCGTCCTTAAAGAACACTTTCAGAACACTTGTTAGCACCCTTCTACTTACTTGTCGGGTATCATGGGGAACTAAAGGTTAACCTTTTTGGTTATATCGGGATCATATATAGGGCTCTACTACTAGGTCTAGAACCCTGAAAGAATCCTTTAAGCAACCCCAAGCAGCGCCGTCTTAGAACCGACTTCCTGGGGTCCTTTGAACTTAGAACCGACTTCCTGGGGTCCTTTGAACTTAGAACCGACTTCCTGGGGTCCTTTAACCCTTCAGGACCTGGGCTTCGAAGTAACCAAGGATTTAGGGTTTAGGGTCGAGCAAAAAAGTGTAAACTTTCAATGTCAAGGTGGTTTCCATCAAGGAACAGGTCCAACAACAAATGTAAAATCCACCCTTTACCCTAAACCCTAGAACCTAGAGCCTATAAACTCTAAACTCTATAACCCTCAACCCAGAACCTATAGTACCCTTATAGAGCCCTTTGAAGGAACCCTTATAACCCTCTTTCAATGCAAGGAACCTGTACCCAGAACCCAAAAGATATACCGGGCCTCAAGTTTGCAGTGCGCCGGAGCTGCCCCACGACCCACTCTTCTCCCTTGTCCTGCAAAGACTCGGGTTTGGGGGTTAGGAGTTTGCTTCTTTTCAGTGTGGATTCTGGGCTCCGGGGTTCTGGGTTTAGGATTTTCGGGTTCAGGGGTGTTTGCTGTTTTAATGGGTGGGTGGAGGTCCGGATTAGCGCTTAATTAGGGTGTTTTTAGGCCTGCTGGCTAGGGTCCCATGTAAGGGCCTAGGTTTTGCATTGCTGTCCATTGGGGTCTACTATACAGACCTTAATTATTGGCATGGGGTTTTGGGGCCCATTATACTCTAATTTTACTAATAAGGATCCCCCAAGAATAGCATTGGTAATTATTTTGGCCCCTATAATAGTTTTGGCCACTTTAATAGGTTGGGCAACGATCCTTCCCATTCTTCGTGGATGGCCTCCGGCAGTTTGGTGCTTGGTCGCCGGCAGTCATAATTCTCTAAAACCTAAACCCTAAACATTTTCCCAAGGTCCTTACCCTTTTTTCGTAGTCTTCAGCTTGAATAAGGGGGCCGTCCAAAAAGATTGCGAAAGGTCGCCACTGGGACTCCGGGTCAGTTAGGGTTTAGGATTTAAGGTTTAGGGCTTAGGGCTTAAGGGTTATAGAGTTTTAGGTTTAAGATTTAAGGTTCAGGGTTTAGGGCTTGAGGTTTATAGAGTTTTAGGGTTTAGGGGTTAGCTTCACCATTCGGCACGACTGGACGGCTACTCGGCAGAAGAAGAATAGTTATAGCACTGGAATATGCGATTATCACAAACGACCAAACGTGAAATGGCCATGTCTAGTATGAAGAACACCCACAAGTATGTAGAACATCCACAAGGGTCTTGATGATGGTGACGAAGACTCTGCTGGTGATGGTCCGGTAATGTTACCGGCAATGGTCGCGAAATTACAGACCGTTATCTATGCAGAAGGCTATGTCTTCATGAAAGTGCTTGCAATGAAACTCTCGCTGCCAAAACGAAAACAACTTCACTGGATGCATATTCAACAGCGCACCACACCCAAGCCGAAAACCCGAACCCTTGAGTCCTGAACCGTAAACCCTCATTTACGAAACGGCATGTGCTGGGCTTCATCGTTTAATCAAGTTTCTTCACCATATGGGTTGCTGTCAAAATTATGGTACCTTTCTTTGGGTACCCTAAATATTAGGTGCCGTATTATAATAAGGACCCAAAAGGGAACCCTAATTTTGACAACTACCCATATGCCAGACCTTTCAGTCGGCGGGTTCGGGTTTGGGTTTTTGGCTTATGGCGGGACCCAAGAGTAACCTAGGAACAGAAAGGGTGCCCTTCCTTGGTTTAAAGGGGCTGATAAAGGAACCTGAACCCTAAAAAAGGGAATAAGGGCCAACTCCACGTCCTAGATGGTTTAGGGTTCAAGGACCGATACCCCATCTTCGAGTAAGAGTCTGGAAAGTAGCCGCCTATCGGAAAAGGCATAGGCCCCTATCGCACAGGGGTCTATCGGAAAAGGCATAGACCCCTATTCCCAGCAGCCTACCCACTAGGCCGGGGACCCCTATCGATAGGGGTCTATAGGTACCTATGGCCGGGGTGTGTCACAGGTGGGATAGGGGTCTATACATAGGGGTCTATGGCTGGGGGATAGACCCCTATAAGGCACATAGACCCGTATCGTTTTGCGATAGGGGTCTATACACCCGCTCCTCCCTTTATAAGGGAGCGAGTGCAGGAAGCAATGAATCAAATGCATACAAACAACTGCACAGCGAAACTCACAGGAACGGCTCGTTCTGCAGTCGGTCCGTCGGTCGCTACACGAGCACGCCGGTCTGTCACTCAGTCGGTCTGCCACTTTTTTGTGATATAGGAAGAGCCGGCATCGCCAAATGAGGGGTGCTTAAGATATATGGTAAACTGCAATCGCCACATGACGCGGCGTGTTTCAGGTATGTGGCGGACCGTTGTCGCCAAATGTGGGGGCATGTTTAAGACAGATGATGAACCGGCATCCAGTGAGGGGGCGTTTTTAAAATATACGACGACCTGTTATCGCCAAACGAGGGGGCGTGCTTAAGATATATGATGAGCCGTTATCGCCAAATGAAGGGGCATGGTCAACAGATATGATGAACCGGAATCACCAAGTAAGGAGGCGGCGTGTGTAAGATAAACGGCGAACCGGAATCGCCACATGAGGGGCTGCATTTAGAGGCCGTGTGTAAAATATGATGAACCGATATCATTAGCAAAACATGCGAATGTAGCGAGCGATAGTGTCCATGCGCATGCACAGACAGCTGCGCAACGAGGTCATATGTCAAATCATTCGAAGGTTTTGTTCCGCGCTTGGACAGGGCAAAGAAGTAGGGTTTGTGGAAGAACCGCTCAAGGGTCATATGTCAAATCATTCGAAGGTTTTGTTCCGCGCTTGGACAGGGCAAAGAAGTAGGGTTTGTGGAAGAACCGTTCAAGGGTTTGGGTATCAGGGTTCTGAACCCTGCTTCGGCAAACCCTACTTCCTTCACATTCCCGCATGCTCTGCTACTCCAGTGGCTGCATGGGATGGAGGCTCCTAGCTGCGAGAAAGCCGTGCACGAAAGCTAGTAGGTCGTGGCTACTGCACAAGTCAAAAGTGCTTCAAACAGGACAAGGAAAGGCATAGGGGCCTATTGCTTGAGAGATAGGCCCTATCGCGATCGGGATAGGGGGCTATGGAAAATCGATAGGGGCCTATGCTGCATAGGGGGCTAGCCTAAGTAGAGACAGGGCCTATCTATAGGGGTCTGTACGAGTTCGCGTAGGGGTCTATCAGTGGGGGCCTATCGGAAGATGCATAGGGTATATCTGTAGGGGTTTGTCCCCGCGGGAGGAGTCGGGCGCATAGGGGTCTATAGGAAAAGCATAGGGGTCTGTATAGGGGTCTATGCACGCCTATGGTAGGGGGCTACTTTCCAGACTCATCTTCCCCATCGCGAGCTAAACCCCTACTGCGAACCTGGAGATCAATGTGCTCCGGCATGTAGTGCTGCACCTGCTGCCCATTACTGTAAGACCAAGTGCAAATAAAAGGAAACACGCTGCAACCCCAGAAGAACAAACAGCTTCATCCATCATCTTCGAAGCAAGCCTCTTGGAGTTTGATGTGCTACGCCCTACCAATCACAACCCCAAACTCCCAACACAAACTAACCTGCTGAATCCCAGCACCCGAACACCAAAAACAAGCCGTACGTTAACTTAATTCATCTTATGTAATTCCCACACTGAACATTCTGCAAACTTGGATTATCAGAGGTCTGTGGTAACTTGGTGTCGGCCGTCGCCAAGTCTTTAAGTCTCAAAATGGAACCCAGAAAGTTGGAACGTCCTTATCCACTGGCCCGGAAGCAAAGCCTAGGGAATTCCAGAAATAATCAACCCAATATCATGTTTCAAGCTTCTGGGGTTCATCATCACGGCTTGACGTAGCTGCTGAAGTCTTCAGCCCCCGAACAACTTAGTCTGTTGTCTGTAGGCTCATATACGATCCTGGTTTAGGCTGTTGAGGTTGTTGAGTTTAGGGTTTAGGGATTAAGAGTTCGAGGTTTATAGTTTAGAGTTGTATAGCCGCAAAAGATAAAGTTCACTCACCAGGCAATGAAGTGAATAATGTTGATGGTGGCGGCTTTGGCTGTCGCAGACAGGCTTCATCAAAGGCTGCTGTAGTCAGTCTGAAAAGTACACTTGGTGTACGACTGCAATGAGGACGGCCACAACTGCTAGCAAATAGTATTTAACACAGTTGTCAGGAATAACCTCATGTAGTGTCATACCCGACAGACGTGCTAGTGCACTGCTCCAAAATGCGGCACCTGTTCAAGGGCCCGACTATTCAGGATCTGCAGGAGGGTCCCTTGTCTTCTGGAGCGCTCTTATGTAACCTCCAGCTTTAAACACATATCGACAACAGTAGGTACAAACACAGTTGATACGTAGTGACTAATTAGTGACATCAACATGGGGCTCGTCATGATCGTCACTATTCTCAAGTATGGCATTGAAGCCTCAAACAAAAACATGGTTTGCGGCGGGACCGCGAAGCCCCAAAAACCAGAAACTCAGCGGATTCTAATGCATTGCTGATCTAACCCCCAAACACAAACCCTCAAACCACAAAGCCGAGAAAATTCCTCAAGGGTTCAACAAATATGTAGCAACACAAATCCCTACACCCGAAACACCCCCAAAACTTAAACCCTAAACCCGAAACCCTTTGACCCTAAACCCTGAACCCTAAACCCCTAGCTTTAAATTTCTGAGCTGCCTCTGAGAAGGGATAAAGCACAAGACGGGATACGGCCCGAGCCAAGATTAACGTGCGGAGCGCCTGGCCACAGCCGATCAAGGTTTTAAGGCTCAGGGTTCAGGAGTTTTGTGTTTTCAGGTTTAATTAGGGTTTAGGGGTTCAGGGCTCAGGGTTTGGTGTCTCGGGCAGGGTTTTCCACGGGTTTGGGTAAGCATCAAAGGGTATAGGGGCCATAACATAATGATGGAACAGGGTTTTGGGGCAGCGCTCGCGCGCGCGTGCAGGTGTGTGTGTGCGTGTGTGTATATATGATGCAGGGCTGCCACACCCCCCCTCCCCCCCCCACCCCATGGTATCCTCCCCCCTTCCCCCCCGCCCCCCCTGTGGTGTGGGGCCTGTGGTGGTACTCTTTTTGCCACGACGTTCTTATGTGTTACTCCTTGTCTTCCCTCTTGTTGTGGCACCGGCGATACTGCTCATGATGTTGTGCTGCTCCAGACCGGGACATGAGTCGACGATCATACCATGCTCAACATCATCCTTGTCGTCGTCATGTTCATCATTGATACCTTCAAAAGAAGATCTGCCACCATCACCATCGCAATACAACCCTCATAATTCAGCATTGCAATTCACGTCAGATGCCGCTTTCCGCACACGGCAGGGCATAGTGCGACACTCCCGATCCGCGCACAAGGTCAAGGGGCAGGCAAGGTGCGGGCCCGGGGCGGCGGGGCGGGCAGGGCGGGTGGGCGTGCAGCAGCAGGCCAACAAACGGTGGGGGGGGGGGGGGGGGGGGGGGGGGGGGGGGGGGGGGGGGGGGGGTGGCGGCCCGGGACCCGAGAGCATATATGTCTGTATGTGTGTGCGTGTGTGCGTGCGTACGTGCGGGCGGGCGTGGGTGCGTGCGTGGGTGCGTGCGTGGGTGCGTGCGTGGGTGGGTGGGTGCGTGGGTGGGTGGGTGGGTGGGTGGGTGTGTTGGTTGACTTCGAGGCTTTTGTCTTGGGGGGGAAGGGGGGGCGGCGGATTATTGGGAATATTATGGCTATCAGGGCTTTTAGGCTGATTGAAGTTGTTAGGGCCCAGGGTTATCAGGGATGATGTATAGGAGCCTGATTTAGACACCCTGGGCCTATAACACCAAAATCGAAGGATTCATATAAAGACTCCTGATGGAGGCCGAAGGTTTCTTAACCAGGTTCCTACATTAGTAGGTTAAAGGGGTACCTGTAGCCGAAAAGACCTATTACTATGGCCTTGTTATACGGTTCCTTAAAAAGGTAGGTCTTCTCGGCTACAGGTAAGGTTTAAGAAAGACATTAGCCCCGAAGGCCCGGAGTGCCCATTCCCAGGCGCCTTCCAGAAAGGTTGGGCCTTGAACGGCAAGGCAAGGCTTCTTCAAAGGAGATAAGGCTTCAGGACTTTAGGGTTTAGGGGAGGCTTCTTCAATGGAGATCAGGGTTTAGGGGTTAGAGCTTTAGGAAATAGGGGTAAAGGGTTCAGGCTTCATTGAAAGTTTATTTAGACCAAAAACGTCCAGCTAAGAGTATAGTATACACTTGGGGGGGCCCAAACATCTACCCAGAACCTAACTTCAGTATACCGGGACAAGGGTGTCATACTGACATTTAGCGTTTAGGGTTTAGGGAATACGGCTGGGTCTTTTTAGAAAGTGATATAGCGCGGTCTAGGGGTTGTGGGGTTGAGGGTAGGGTTAAGGCTAGGGTTGCGGGTTTATGAACGGAGTTAGAGGGTGTGTCATACAGGGATTGGAAGGGCTTAGGGCTTAGTTTTTACAGGATCCACGTCTCTTTGCTGCTAGCTCACTCTAACTCACTATGAAGGTCCAAAGTACATGAACAGTAGAATGTAGGGTTTCTATATAACTAATTACTATCATGATTTGGGGAAGTATCTCCCATAACAGTACATAGGACCCTTTGTGTACGGGTATGACCCTGATCGTTGTGGCCCACATGCAGCTGGTTTCAATGACCAAATTAGAAGACCAACAACCCGAGCTCAAAACTGTAAAACCCTGAACCCCTAATCCTGAACACCTAGACCTTAAACCGTTGTGAGTACGGGCGTACCACGTTTGTTTATCTCCTCAACAGCACTAAGATGGCAAAAGTGGAAGGACGCAGGGTCGTCGATTTAAGAGCAGGGGCTTATTACCTGGGGCCTCTGGTTTAGGAGTAGTGGTTCGAAGGCTTCGGGGATTTGGGGTCAATACTGTTGATGATATAAACCCTGCATTGCCCACAAGAAGGAATATACCATAACTCCCATAGTCTATTTTCCTTAAGGTAATGCAGGATTTATATCATCAGCCGTAGTTTAGGTGCTAGTTTGACGGTTAGTCAACTTGTTTGTTGCTTGAGTTTATACAGGGAACTCCAGAAAGTTGGAATATGGTTTCATGGTAGGATACCCTATAATTTACCATAGAAGGGTTAGGATAATCATATTCCAACTTTCTGGCTTCTACCTTAAAGGTCAGGGGGATTTAGGTTCCTTGGGGGACCAGATCCCTAGGGTGGGAGCCTCGAGGTTGTCCCATTTGGCTATGAGTCGAATACAAGAGGCTGGCACGCTTTGATGCCACAACTAAATCGGTTTAGGGTTTAGGGTTTAGGGTTTAGTTGTCGGTTTTCTCTGAACTGACATCTGTGCCGTATATCGCGACGCATCCGCGCAAGGATGGCCTTTGTATGCTTCCTGTACGTCCCGTGAGTCCCACGCACCAAGGGACTAGGCAGCTGGGCGGATGTGAACAAGGACAGGAAGAAACAAACTAAACCCTAAACCCCTAAAACCCTTTCGCTGTCAGCCGCGGATCAGACGGGATGACATACTGTATCAAGGACTAAAGAGGCTTTCGAGATGAGGGTTTCGGGACAGTTTGTCAGAAACATGAAGTCGCTTCGGGTTTAGGGGTTCAGGGTTCAGGGGGTTTTGGGTTTACGGGTTTTAGGGGTTGAGTGGAGACTTAGATGTACGGGTTTAAGGTCAGGGGTTCCCGAGCATGATGCCATGGACCGCGAACGACCAGAGCACGTATGATGATGGTCATCGGAGCTCACACAAGTATGCTCAAGAGCTGAGTATCCCCACCGTAATCGATCACGATCACCATCCTCCTATCCCAATCTCCATCGCAGCCGTCAGAAGCACTGACAAGGTGGTCATCATGGCCTTGACCTTCGTCGTCCACCTCATCTATCATCGTCATCGCCATTGTCGGCCCCGTCATAGTAATCCACGACTGCACCGTCGTCGCCTGAGCATTGTCACAAGCATCAGTCTTCTTCCACCGCAGCAAGAAGTCCTTGCAGTTGCTAGCGAGCACCTACAGTACATGACTTCTGCATGCACCGGCTGTTCTGATGACAGCATGGCACGGATGCCCTATGGCCGGGAACTGCGTTCAACAGCATCATCATCATCATCATCATCATCATCATCGTCATCATCATCATCGTCGTCATCCGCATCAATATCATCATCACCATCATCATCACCATCATGACCTTAACAACTCCTTTTCGCAGATCGGAGTATTTTTTAGGGTCAACTGTGTTACAACGCACAACCCTCTAACCAGACAGGAACTCGACGTTTGAGCTCCCGGACACAGAAGGCGGCCAGCTGGAAGCCGGGATTGACGAAGATCTGACGATTGAAAGCTGACGGCTCTGCGAAATGAACCGTTCGAATGTTGAAACACCTGTGACTGGCACGCCGCTTGTCCTGTCACAAACAAACAAACACACACGCACACACATACATACATAAAAAAACTACATACATACATACGAACCTAAATACGGGCTTTTCTGAAAACGCGGAGTCGCTTAGTGGAGGTTGGATGGACGGATGCTGCTATCGATGGCTTTTGGGTGTGTATGTTGGGTTTCCAGGGCCTGAAACTCGTAACTACATCAAAACCCTCGTGTCAGTCCAATTCAACTGTGGCTTGGGGGCTTGGGGGTATAATGAAGTGATATAATAACAGAACTGGACAAGGACTATGAGGAGACAACATGATAAAATATTCCGACGCCGATATCAAACAGCAGTTCCGCAAGGGCACTTCGATATCTGTTCTCGAAAATGACTTGTGTAGTGGTTAGGGTGTTAAGTGTTTTGGGTTGAGGGTTAGAAAGACGCCTGGAAACCATGAACCTCAAAAAATCGCATGTCTCTGGTATGGACATCCTCTCCGAGTGAGACTCGTACTTAAATATAGGGGCCTGAGTGACTAGAATAAGGCTTTGGGGTTCATTGCAGTGCAACCATGGCGAAGAACCCGAAGGCTCCATGGAATACCACTGCTGAGTGTTGAGGCCACAAATTATATATATATATAATGAAAATACAAATATGTACATATATCTACATGTATATATATATATATATATATAGATTATATTCGAACCGATTGGAACGCCTTCTACGGAAGCTTTAGGGGTTAGGGTGTAGCCGAGCCCTTTATCGGAGGAAGCTTTAGACACAACTCCAACGTTGAACCCAACCCCAGACCCCCCCCAAACCCTTGAGGAACCTGGTAGATTGAAGAACCCTTCACAGGAACCTGCAAAAGACACCCTGACTCCTGAAGCCATCCTGCGAGAACCCCCGTCAAACTTTTTCTCGGACCCTGATTCCTGAACCCCAAAATGCCTAACGAACGCCTTGAAGGACCCTTTAAAGGAACCCTGGCAGGGAACCCTCTAGTTATGACAACCTATCCCTCAAAACCGAAGCCTAAAGGCCCCTACTTGTATCATTTCCCTTTAAGGCGCCCTTGAAAAGAAACTAAGGAGCCGACCTCCAGCCAAAGTCCCGCCGCGTGCGCCGCGCGGGGGGCGAAGTCCCCGGCCATCGGCGGCTCGAGAAGTGCTGCCAAGGCCTTGAGCTTTCCCTAAGGGTCCATGTACCCAAATAGTATATACTTTGGACCCAATGTATACCCATATAGCGAGTACTTTAAGGCAAATGTATATACCATTTAGGTACATGGACCCTTAGGGTTTGGGGCTTTGGGGGTTTAGGGGTTTAGAGGTTTGATGTAGGAACCTGATTAAGAAACCTTGGGCCTTTATTAGGGTTCCGTATATGAGCCATACTTTTTTGGGGTTATAGGCCCAGGGTTTCTTAATCAGGTTCCTGGATTAGGGTTTAAGGGTTTAGAGGTTCAGGGGTTTAGGGTTCAGGGCTTGAGGCTTTAGGGGCCTCACTTTAGGTGCTCACGACCCTTACGAGCCTTTCCCTGAGGGTATGTACTCCAAAGTGTAGACTTTGACCATAAGAGTACCATACCTGTGGACTGCGAGGCTGAGGTATAAGCTATTTGAGTACGTGCCTTCAGACCCCTCGTTGGATGCTCCTCGCGTGGCTTGACAGATGCCCATATCTGTGATGGCCTTGGAGTCCTTGATGCCGATGAGCTCCGCACCGGTGAGATTGTCCGTCACGCAGCATGGCTGTCAGCGGAGCATTCAGACTCCATCCAGGCGAGGCCGAAACTGCCGTGTCTCGATGCGCGCCGAGACCTTCGGTCTCTACTGTCGCTCCCTGGCCTGGGCCCCTCCCGGATTTCCGCAGGGCCATCTGCTTTGAAGACCTCCTGCATTGTTGCAGGATTCTTGTCTGAATGCAGTTTCGATGCCAGCTGCTTGAAGGCCTCATGGGAGCAATCAAGCTGCAGCCCTTACGACTTCCTTTTTGGGTGTACGGTCGCGAGCCAGCTTTTTTGGGGGCTGTTCTGGAGATGCCAGGCTTTGGGAATCAGGGTTGAAGAATGCTTTTGCGGTCCAGGGTTTGGTGCTTAAGGTTTCCCAAAGGCTCCATGTACCCATATAGCAGGTACTTAGGCCTTAAAGTAGCCACATAGGGACCCTTCTAAGGCCTAAGTACCTACTATATGGGTACATGGAGCCTTTGGGTTTGGGGTTGAGGCTTCAATGTTTAGGGCTTGTGTGGTATGAGTCGTATCGGCCTCAGGGTTTAGAGTGTAGGGTGCCGGGGTTCAGGGCGCAGCTTGTCAGTGGCTTCGGGCGTACCGGTTCTGACGTTGCGGCTGCGGGCAAGTGAGGGACGCGGCGATGCGAAGTTGGGGGCTGCGTGGTCCAATTTAGGGGCCTGAGGGACTTTTTAGATTAGAATAGGACTTTGCATGGCTTAACAGGGTATTCTGGAAGAGAAAAATCATAAGGACTCTCGGGGCATGCTTTTCCTAATTATTATCGGACCCCTGTATTTGGCTTTTTTCTTTCTACACCTGCAGGCCAATGCTCTTGTCCCCGCATCATCAAACCGTCTGAGCATGAACTCGCTAGTCGCTACAGTCAGCACAGCAAGGCTACAGCAGGGGCCTTAATTACAGACCAACTATACGGGGATACCAACTATTACAAGCCGCCCTAAACTGGCTTTTAAAACACCCTACACCCTAATTCCTAAGGCCCTATGCAGCTTTTCAGCTTTTGAAGCGGAATCTAAGGGGGCTTTGGTACGCCGGCACACGGTAGCTAGATCCTAGGACCCAAGCAGAAACCTGAGACCAACCCAGATCCTGAAACCCTTAACCCTAAACTGGCCCTGGACACTTAAACCCGAAATTTTAAATCCCTAGATCCCTAAATCTGAAAGAGAGAACCCTAACCCCAAACTCTGAAAGAGAGAGAAACCCAAGTCCTACGACTCAGAAAATTTTGCTTTGCCGCAGGACACCCCCAACCCGAACCCACCTCCACTGTCCACTCCACTGTGAAGGTAGCAGCAGATACATGTTTGGAGATCGCATTGGAAGAAACCATGGCGACACAAAACAACCCTAAACCCCAAACCCTCAACCCCAGACTCTTGATCCTAAACCCTAAAACCTTCGATCCCAAACCCTAAACCCTTCATTAATCCCTCCAGAACCTCATAGCTACGAGCCCTCCCGCCGGGTAAACAAAAAACAACAAGCTCCCTCAGATAGGGGCCTCCATCGCCGAGCAAGCCACCTGAGGGCGTGGCCTTAGGGAGCCCTTCGCTTCGGTTTAGGGTTTAGGGTGTAGGGCTAGGGGTTCATGTAGGTTTAGGGTTTAGTTTAGGGTTTGAGGTTTGGGGTTAGGCCATTCAGTTCAGGTTGAGAGCTTTACGGGTCAGGGGACTGAGGGGCTTTTGGGTTTAGGGTTTGGTTTTTGGGGCTTCGGGTTTAGGGGATTACCTAAAAGGGGATCCTAGACAACACTAAAGCCTAACCCTAAAAACCTTCTCCAGCCGAATTTTTTTGCTTTCAAGGACCGTGTAGCCGCTATGGCCGGTGTTAGTAGCCGGTAAAGATCAAAGTTTCACTTTAGGGGTTCACCCTAGGGCTCCAGTTACCTAAATAGTAGGTTACTGGGGTATAGAATATCCCTAAGCCTTAAACCCTAAGCCCTAAACCCTAAGCCCTAAGCCCTAAGCCCTAAGCCCTAAACCCTAAGCCCTAAACCCTAAGCCCTAAACCTAGAATATATGGTTAGTAACCTACTACTTCGGTAACTGGAGCCCTAGGGTCAGGGGTTTAAACTTAGGGGTTTAGGGTGGTAGGCTACGGTTCGGAAGATTCGGGTTTCTACTACTTGCTTAAGAAGCCCCCCCCCCAAAAAAAAAAAATCCCTATATCATCCCTATAAGGAATATTTTTTTGGGGGGGTTCTTAAGCAAATGGTAGGTTTAGGGGTTTAGGGTTTAGGGTTTAGGGATCCAAGGTGTCGGGCTTGCTTGTGGGAGTACGAGACACAGTTGCCAAGCAGACACTTGCCCCTGCTGCCCGAGCCACTTAAGGAGAAGCCCTGTTACCCAAAACTTACCTTTGGTTAGTAGCGAATGGAGGAATGGGGTACAACTATAACTACTATTACTACCATTCTTCCATTCCCTACTAACCAAAGGTAAGAAAAGGTTGCTGGGTTGTGGGAACAAGGCACCGTAATTAACTTAAAGCCAAGGCAAGGTCGGGACACCCGTATGGATCCTGGCGGAGTCATGACCCCTTCAAGTGCATCAATTTGTTCTACGAAACTCTGACTCGTTGATGATTTCCAAGACTTTCCGAGGTTTAAATAACATGCTGTGGACTCATGGCTTCATACGGGCTTTTCAGGGGCAACAAGTTCAACGTTGTAGAAGGTACTCCTTGGCCCTAGCATCCGACAATCATCAGCGACCTGGCCTCAGTCCGAAGCCACGCACTCCCCCGCTGAGAAGGCTAACTTCGCCGAAATCACAGGATGCCTACCATACGATAACCCGACAAACGGCGGAGCCTCGCAGCGCAAGGACATG